CAATAAAGGGACGAAACGTCCAACTAAATCAAACATAGTTCTACTTCTTTCATGTCCAAGTTCCCTGTTAAATTTCATTATTAAAAATTGTAATTTTTGGACGAGAGAAATACTAAATAAATTAAAAATAAAGTTATACTTACAAAACCGAACAAAGGGTTTACTTTATAGTCTTTGTTTGCTTTGCAAACAGTATAATACTACACAACAGTATACATTATACGCACATCGCACACTATGAATTTAAAACAGTTTTAAGATAAAAAATGTATCCAAGAAATCGATCACTCTGATCTCGAAATACGAGATCCTCTTCTTTTCTGGTTGCAATCTGTTGTTATATTTTTCCATTCTCGATATTTTATACTCCCATGTATAATGTCTCATTTTTCTTTTTTTTAAGCTCGTGCATTTTTATTTTTTCCTTTCCACGGAATAGAACGAACTTACTCCAAGAAATTTTCTTTCACGTATCGACGATGATCGGTTTTGAAAAAAAAAAGAAATAATAATAATAATATCGTTTATAAAAATAAATCCTTTTGTCTTGATCTTAGCACGCTTACTAATCTCAAGGCCAATTTATTTCTTATGTGTTAAAGTATTCGATTAGAATACAAATAAGATATTGGGATTGGTTGTTCAGTTGAAAAGAATAATAATTGTTTTGTTAAGTTTATTATTTTTTTCTTTTCTTTTCTTTTCTTATTTAAAACCCTTTCGTTTTTACTTTTTCTTATCTTCCTTTTTTTTAAAATAGAATTTTTTTGTTTCAACGTTGTTTATTTTTTAAGTGGAGTTAGTTGACCAAATTATTCAGGGTGGAGAAAGATGTGTGTTCCATTTCTTGAACAAATAAATGGCTTGATGAATGACTCACTCATTCGAGTCATTCCTCAGAACTCGATACGATTGAACTCGTTTAATGATTATGTTAAAAGCTTTCATATGCATATTTTTCTTTTCTTGCTTGTCCCTGCATTTCTTCGAATTTCATTCATTGCTAATATTATATTACATATTCGCAAAAATTGCGTCTTTTGTTGTGCCAGGTTAAGTATCTCGAATGTTATAATTAATTAGGTATACTTCAATCTGATTATTTTCTTTTTTTGTATTTATTTATTTATTAGTCAAAATGTTAATATCGAATACAAATTTCATAAAGTATATAAAATTCAAATTTAAAAAGATTACCAGTTTTATTTTATTCGAATATTATATTTTCTCACGCGAAGTTAAATAAAAGAAATTAGAATGGAATGATTCGTAGATAAATTTCCTTGATATTCGATGAACTCAAAGTGTAACCCGGATAAGGAAGAAGAAGTGCACTAGGAAAAGGTAATCCCGTGCAACGTAAGTGCATTCTCCAAAGCGTGGGAGCATTCCTTAGAATATAACCAAGATAAAACGACGAATACACTGACATTTGTTTTTCTATCTTTATTTCTTTTTTTTTATATAATATATACCTATGTAAACGAAGCTATATGCAAGGAGGATAATCGAGATACGCGTTTTCGTCGAATTTGTGTTGTTAAAAATAAGGAAATACCGAGTACAATAATTTTCCATGAGGGTGGCAGTGGTGTTAAAAAGTTCAGATTTAAATACGTTTGATTATATAAATAAACAAATAAAACAAATAGTTCTCTTTGATGTTTTTGTTTTAATTACGAAGCTTCGTTCTTTTAATCACGAAGCCTTAATTTAATTACAGATTAATTAAAGGATATTGTTGATTTTATGGTTTACTGTTTAAGGTAATTGGCAATAACATTTTACATGCAGTGTATTATTCATTTTTATACTAATTGAGTTCAAGATAAATTGATACCACTTCACAATTTTTTTTTTACAGATATATAGGATGATTTATCGATATTTGTTTTGCATGCTATTGTTATTTTAAAATCAGATCTAGCGAATCGACGTGTTCTCCAGTGGGAATAGAAATTATTCTCTCATACTGTATACACGTAAACACATTTATAACACTGCGATCATTTTCCTTGATAAAAATTCATTTTCTTTTTAACCAATCATCTTTTTTTCCTATTTCCCGTTAAACGTTTTTGCGAATCCCTTATGAGTTTTTGTAATAACTAACGTATTACGAAATACGATAATAAAGATTCACTGTTAATTATCAATCATTTCTAAAAGATAATTGTTACTAATCAGCTTGTTAACGTGTCTTTCATAATCGTTACTAAACAATACGAATGATGAATAATTAGACAAGGAATTGTACGACCAGTTACGTGATGATTGTTTAGTTAGGATTCAGATATTATTCGAAGCACTATCGAAAAATAATTCCGATTCCGAAAAAGATTCCAATATGTTTTTATCTGGCTCAAATGATTCTAACTTTATCAATATTATCGTTAAATTTCTACAAAAATTTGGTGAGTCATTTAATTGCATATCTTGAATTTCTTGATTCATCCGTGTATGGGGTTTTTTTTTTTTGAGTTGACACCGAGAGAACAATAAAAAAATAAAATAAAATTACGAACTTGAATGGGGACGGGTGTTAAAAGGAAAATAAATTGGATAAACCGTAAAGTTGAATAACAAGTATTTATCTTTAGGATTTAACGATTGATTTTAATATTTCAGGTAGAAATTTGCGAAAAATGGCGTCGGAAGATCGAGATTTGATTGATCTCGGTAACGATTTATGCGTGGCACGAGTATCAATAAATGATCCAACTCCAGAGGAACAGGAACATTTATTGGACGTTTGTCCACCGAAGTTGGAACAGAAGCTGTCCCTGACCGTGAAACAAGAGCAAGTTAAGAACGATAGTGACAACGGTGATGTGTTGGTAACCTTGGGACATGATCAGGTTGTACCAATCCGGAAACGAATCGACGTTGTCTCCTCGGATACAATTAAAAGAATACGTGACATAACGAGAAACCTCGAACCGGTTATCAGGAGAACTTGTTCAGGAATCATACTAGATCATCATCATCATCATCATCATCATCATCATCATAATCGTGACATAGTCGATCATGCTAATTCGGAAAACATTTTATCTACGGATGAAGAAAGTTTTGAAACGCAGGAGATCAACAGCGCGTTTGATTTTCTTGCCGAACACGAGGACAACGATGAGGAGGATCACGGTGACGAAAATAATCAATACGATGTTGCTGGATCAAACAGATCAATTTCCTTATCTGCCAGACCATTAATCGACAAATGTGAATCTTCCATTTCCCTGGATAATCGTCGTAGAAGAAATACTGATAATTACGACGACATACAACTTGATAATCCGGCTTTCGAATCTTCCCTTTACGAAGTATCATCTTGTTCAAGGAATACAGTTGCCAATTCCTGTTTCGTTGATTTTGATCTTGAACTTCGCGACAAGTGTAAGAGACGTGCACAAGAGGAAAGTGTTTTCTTACATGATAGCAAAAGAAAATCCTTCCAAAATGTGACCAATCGGAAATCTTGGGCTGAAGGAACCAAAGGACATCCTTCTAAGGATATTGGGAGAGTCAATAGATCTCTCAGTTTGGAAGAAGCTGCTCAGTCTTGTGAACCTGTCGTTGGATTTTTTATTGGGTAAGCGTTATTTCTTTCCTATTTTTTAAAACTATATATATTATAATTGTGTGAGTTAATTATTAATTCTAATTTAAAGATCATTCATTTGTAGACACATTGTTTTAATATTTATTGGTATGAAATAATTGACTTTGGAAATATTTCTTTGAGTTTTCGGTTTTAATTTAATCATTTTTGAAATACTTAATTGTAAAGAAAATTATTGCGATATTTATAGGTACATATATTAAATCATATATGTATTTCTAACTAATAGTAAGTATGTAAGAATACTCGCATGTAAGAAGATATACCAGTACGTTGACTGAAAAGTATAATTTTGTGCCGGAAGTATTTACCAAGGCTCGACTTAACGAGCGTGCAAACTATTTCAAATCGTTCTGGTATCCTCCACAAACGAGCCTTCGTACGTAACGTTGATCCATCTGGTCTGTACAAAAATAATTTCGATATAAATTAATAAAAAAGAAAAAGAAAAAGAAAAAATATGAAAATATAATTTCCAAAAATATAAATTCAAACTCTCAATATCAAATTAATTATTGTTCATATTATTAGAGTTTTATTCGAGACTATTGCGTATGACTCATGAAAGTGGAAAATTCTAACACTCATATGTATCACCTATTGCAATAATCTATTATGACACTTTCGTTAGTATAGTTGAGATAATGTCATTAATTTACTCTTACGTAAATCCATTCTATTTTCATACCAACAAATATTTAATATTTGTTTATCCATGTATTATGTAATATTTGTTTTCTATTAATGTCTATAGGAAAATCAATGGAAAATATAATCGAATAATTTATATATATTTGATTAGTAAATTACTTTTGAATTCGTTGAAAAGATTGAATTTCACATTTTTAGGGTTATTAAGTATTTATAAATATAAATTATTGTTTAATTGTTAAATGACGTAAATGGGTAAAAACGTAATTGTCGATTATTTTTGCAACGTCAGAACGGAATAAAAAATTATAGTCTTTGGATGTGTTAGTTCGAACAGTTGTTGGTAATCGTTAAACGAGTACAACTTATCAAAGAGGGTAGGCAGTTCTCGGTGATAAGGAAAATGTAAAAGAGGAAAAAAAAGAAAAGGTTTCACTCTTGCTGGTCTCACAAGTCAGTATGTTTAACAATCATACATGCAAATGTATACAAATGCGTGTGTTACAAAATGCAGGAAATAAAGGCTCTCTCGTATAGTCGTCTAACGGTTTTTTTTATTTCTAATAACACAGTCCGGGTTTCGATCTAAATCACTGGTTTTAACAAATTTTTTCGGTTCACGTGTAATCCTCGTTTTATAGCGAAAAAAGTATTTGATCAAATCTTTCCTTGTAAAAAAACGATTAAATATTCGTAAAAATCTGATATTATTAATAGAAATGTAACACGTGTAAACACAATAATTCGTGAAACTTTAGAAAAGAGATTGCATGGAAATTTCTATGAAAACACATTTCGAAGATTATTGATCTTCATACAATTATTTATTATCGTTTTCTGATCATTCGAATAATATACCTGCTGTTAATACATTGATTACGCAATTACTCCTGGTTAGAATTTATTTAAATTTGCATTTCAATGACGACGATCTTTATATTTTTTATTCTTCATTCGTTTTTACGTATCTCTCTCTCTCTCTCTCTCTCTCTTTTATCAATTATTTTATTTTTTTCAAACTAATCTAACTCTCGGGATAAATAGATTGAGAGAATTCAAGTAAAAATTAAGATAATATAGTAGAAAATACAAAAAAGATTCTTTTAAAAACAAAAAAATAAACAAAAAATAAGATGGGGAAACGGAGAAACGGAAACGTGTGTAGTAGTTAGTAGACCCACTGGAATTGCGAACACTTTCTATCGTCCTTCTCCCTCGTGGAATCGGTTTAACCGGAAGTTGTGTTAGCCCGGGCTCGTGCGCGAAAACCATGGATCCCGCATGGCAAAGACCTGCGGGGTTCCTTGAAGTGGCACGTGCGTTTAGTATAATAATGCCACACTCCTAAGAACAAAGGGTTCCTTTTTTACATTATAATAAACATGTCTACAAAAAAATACATTATCCGATTTCCCGTGTAAAACGGGTGACGGGAGGTGGAGGTAGAGGGAAAGGGGGAAGGATTTATAGGTGTGTTTTTGAAAGGACGTTTCCTTATTTTTTTGTTCTTTTTCTTTCTTTATTTTTCACGCTCGAGATATCATCGCGTTCGAGTTTAATAATCGTCGTGTGCCATCCATCAACTTTCTCAATCTCTTCTTTTAAGATTCTCAATTGTTGTTGTCACGCGGAAGAGTTCTTATGCAAATATCGTTCTATTGCAATCAATCCCTTCACTGATTTCTCTTCTGCTTGATATACCCTGAGATTATTATTCCTTTTAACGTTTTATATCTATGATAAAATTAATTTAATTGTTTTTTTTTCTTTTTTAAAAGATTCTTGCTCCCATGAAGTTACAACATATGACAAATACGTGACAAAATTATTTTAAAAAAAAAAGTATCATATTTGAATGAAATCTAAACAATGATAAACGAAATGAAATAAAAAAAGAAAAATCATGTTTGTTGTTTATAGAAAAAGACCGGATGAGGAATCAACAACGATCAGATCGGAGGAGGCTTGTTCGGATTGTTCGGAAGTCGATTGGTCGTGGTTAGAGGAAGTGGAAAGCCTGCGGGCGTCGGGAACGTCCGAGCACGGCGCGGGTTCACCGGCCAATGAGCGCTTCGAATTGGTGGGGAGAAACGCGTCCTCGGTTTCAGAGAAGTCAAGAGAGCGCAGGCGCGAAACCGAGGATCGGCTCGAGGAAACGAGTCGCAGTGCCGCGATGTCCGTCACCGTGTCGACGGCCACCAAATCCTTAGTCGATAATAATCATTTACGATCGGACAACGTTGATAATCAAAATAACAATAACAATAACAACAACAATACCATTAATAACAGTATATTCGTTGTTAATGGAAATAATGATGATATCGAAACGGAGTCCCGTTACAACGACACGAACAACGAACTCGAATCGAATACCAATAATAATATTAACAACAACAACAACAACAACAACAACAATAATAACAGTAACAGCAATCGCGTTACGAATTCGTGGATACGCGCCTCCATGAGGCGACTACGTCATTTGAGATTGCCAGAAGGAACGGTAGAACATAGACAACAGAGGAACGCGGAACCGACCAATCGGAGATCGGCAATAGTTTCGGCGCCAAATTCGTTGCCAGATATCGCATTGGTGGCACCGGAAATCTTAGCGGCCCAAACCAATGGTACATCGGGTCATCATTTGAGACCATCTAGTGCACCAGCTGTTAATCGTAACGTCAACGTTGGGAATAACGTTATTATTTCTAATAATACGAATTCTAATAACGGTAGTGGTGGTAGTTCTAGTGGTAGTAGTGCTAGTGCTGGTGGACGACCAGGACGACAACACGGCGGCGCTGTAACCAATAATACTACCACCTCGTCGAACAACCCTACCCCTCCTCCTCCTTCTCCTCCTCCTCCTGCTATCAATGTTGCTACTCCTTCTACCAGGTCCAGGTGTATTTCGAACGCCCTCAGAGACACTACTTCTTCTGTACAAAGCAGTGTTACATCAACCACTACCGGAAGCGACGCAACCGGATCATCCGGAACCACGACCTGCTCCAGCTCTTCCAACGGTTCACCAGCAAGCACGGCGACCAGCTCGCAACGCGCTGCCTCCAGGAGGTATTTATTTTTTTTATTTTTTTTATTTTTCATTTTTTTATTTTTCATTTTTTTATTTTTCATTTTTTTATTTTTCATTTTTTTATTTTTATTATTATTATTATCGTTATTACATCGTACGGGAGATAGTTTTTATTTGATTGCATTGGAATAAGATTTCAACAAAATATACAATATCTGGCTAACCTGATATTTCAAAAACTATGTTATTTAAATAAGAAAATATTTGATAGAACGATAATAACGTTCAGAAATACGTCTTCCGACAATATTTTAAAAATATCCCGTAAACAATAGACAAAAAACGTCTTAACTTATACCACGTCCTATATATTACACAATGTTTTAATAATAAATTATTATTAATAATTATTTATATATATATTGTGTACACGTATAGCAGGATACAGTGGATCATCGTTCCACTTAGACAGCCTACCAATTTTTCTATTATTATTATTATTATTATTTATTTATAGGTATATAATTAATGGTTATTTTTATATACGTAAAAGAGTATGGTGTTTATCGGTGATCAATCGAGAACGTTTGCTTGAGAAAATAAGTCAAGGTGTTTCAGTTCAAGAACTCATCTCTCATCCTTTTCTTTTCCTTTGCTTTTTCTTCTACTATTTGCGCATATATCTTCGAATGAAATTCAAGAGATTCTCCTCGAATGTAGGCGGATAGTTCTTCTTCTTCCTCTTCTTATTCTCGAGTATAATGTTGTAAATCCTGTAAATATATACGTGTTGGAATTATCCGTTTGAATTCACGTGTAGGATGATAAGCGTTGGAACAGCAAACGAGTTTTCCAACGATTTAATGCGATATCTCGGAATAGTCAAGATGATAAATGCACTGATCGAATGATTTTTTTAATATAATGATTCCTTTTTTTTTCCTCCAAAAAAAAAAAACAAGAAATAAAGAAAAGAAACAAAGATTTGAAATATTTTATTTTATTGTCGTTCATTTATTTATCAATAAAACGTATAGGATTTCATTTTAACGAGAGATTAGGATTTCGCAATTATGTTAAATGTTATATTTACATTGGTTATTAATGTTTGTTGCTGTTGTTTTTCTTTTCCTCTTTGGATTTTCTTCTTGTGCTATTCTTGAATCAACCTAGTTAGCTTTGTTCGATCATCTTTCTTAACTTTCCGGGGGCCCCACCTTTATTGTTAGATTTGCCGGAAGCGAAAATCAAGTTAACGAGTTGATTGTAACAGCCTGTTCATCCAAGCCTGACATTTGCCTGCCTGCCTGCCTGCCTCAATTTTTTTTTTTCTTTTTATTTTTTTCCATTTTTTTTTGCGTAATCGTTCGATACACCCACTGGGCAGGGCGTTAAGAAACTACTTTGGAAGATCCTTTTCTTCTTTTTCTTTAAAAGCTAACTGTGTTTTATTTAACTGGTTATTCTTTTTTTTCTACAAACACACCGAATCTGTTTCTTGTTTGTTTTTTCTTTTTTGAAAAGCCAACTTTTGTTTTTTTTTTTTTTTTTCGAATAAACAGACGACAGCATTTCGTCGATCAGGGTTTTAAAATTGTTTGAATTGTTTCACAAATTCATTGGATGCATTTAATGCAATGCAATGTTGGGATTTATTTGTTAATAATGATTTTTCAAGTTTGATGCAATAACTCAGAAAATTAAGTAGCGAATAATGCGCGTGAAAGCGAAGGGAAAACATTATTTTAGTCAGCATTGATGAAAGGCATATTAACATCATACGTATTTCTAAATTCTTTTAGTGAAATTTGTTATTAAAATATTTCGCGTTCGTTGAAATAAATGTTTTTTTTTTTTTTTTTTTTTTTTTTTTTTTCTTTTTTTTTTTTTTTTTTTTTCCTTTTTTTTTTTTTTTTTTTTTTTTTTTTCTTTTCTTATAAGAACATCACAAGTGTGTGTGTGTAAAGACTTATCGTCAGAAATAATTTNTCAGCATTGATGAAAGGCATATTAACATCATACGTATTTCTAAATTCTTTTAGTGAAATTTGTTATTAAAATATTTCGCGTTCGTTGAAATAAATTTTTTTTTTTTTTTTTTTTCATATCTTCGTTTTGTTTTCTTTTCTTTTTCCTTATTTTCTTTTTTCTTTTTTTTTTTTTCTTTTCTTATAAGAACATCACAAGTGTGTGTGTGTAAAGACTTATCGTCAGAAATAATTTATCGAGTTGCTATAATAAAGTTTGTTACTGTGTTGCATGAAATATTTCTAATTTTCTTTTATTTAGTCGTAGAAGAAAAATAACAAATGTGAGTAGTCTCTGGTCAATTAATTTATTGTAAGTTTCCTTTTTTTTTTTTTCGAATTTTCTTTTCATAGTATTTAATTTGATATTAAAAATTTATTGAAACACACACACACACACACACATACACATTTATACGTAACTTTTCTAGTCCACATAAATAGACGATAGGTATTCATCTATATATGTATGCATGTATAAATGCATGTATAAATGCATCTATAAAATATAATACACAGAGAGAGACGTGCACATGTTCACCAATAAATTTATCGATCGTATTAAACCTCGCGAGTTTCACTAAACATTTTAAACGAAAGTCTTAACGAAGAATTTTCTCAACCAAATCTAGTGGGTGATAATTATATGTATGTGTGTATGATACGTTTGTGCATTTCTAATTTTAACTTGCATCGCGACGTGAACATTATTTCATTCAAATTATACTTGGAAGTAAATAATAATTTGAATGAAAAAAAAAAAACACAAAAAAGATAACAACCCAATTTTTTACTTCCTGTCAAACGCGTGGAAACATTAGAATAATTCATAAATCATGTTCCATTTATAATTTTATTTTACCTTATCGCCGTTACACTTTGGCAACCACACCACGTACCAAGAGTTACCATAAATCATTTTTAATCTATTAGAAGTAATATATTTTATATATCTTTTTCTTCTTTTTTTTTTCTTTTTTCTTTTTTCTTTTAATTCGCGTATATGTAACCTTGTAGATTTTATTTTTAATTTACATTTATATTATACATTCCAAAGAGTTAGATTAATAAAATCGATAGAATATTTATGAATAATCATCTGTTCCTTGTTTTTTCTTTTTCTTTTTTCTTCTTCTTTCTTTTATCTAAAAGGAAGTATAATAAATTCATACTTTACAATTATATTACGCACGAGGAACGATCGATCGATTTATCGATCGTTGCAATAAAAAAAAACTGTATGCAACATATGCACAAACGTGCGTAAAGAATTATTATCCGAGAACCAATTGTAAAAACACGTTTCCATTATTCCAACATTACTACTTCTACCTTGTTCTAATTTTTTTTTCTTTTTTTCTTTTTCTTTTTTCGTTTTTAACGTCATTATTTTTTTATTATATTTTAAGTATAGATAATACCTGTTTAATGAATGATTCAATTTATCGATCATATTCGTAAATAAATATTATTATCATATCATCTAAGGATCTCGATAGTTTATAGAAATTGTTTTGTCGTTAATAAACCGTATAAATTGTTGCATAATCAATAACATTGATCTTGGAATAATATTACTATAAAAAACCATCAATGGAAGTGTTTGAATCATTTTTTTTTTTGTATAAATTATTTTATTTTATATTTCTTTTTTTGTTATTTATCGAAGACATAAAAATATGTTTGTAAATGTTTTCACATTATTTTATTTATTGTTAAATTAAATGATAACTTTTGTTAAATTATTTATAACGATGTTATTAGTTATTTTTCTTTTTTTTGTAACATTTAAATGAATGGTATATTGCACATCGAAAATAATGTTTGGTAAATATAAATTATTAGATAACTTCTGTTTAAGTACTTTTTTTTTCTTTTTTTTTTTTTTTTAATGAGATAGAAGATATAACTTTCGTAACGAAAAGAGGTTTCGCTCTCTAAAACAACTCATTCGTTCAGTCCTCGTTGAACTCTCCTTGATTTCACTCGTTAACCAACATCTGTTATTTTAAAAGAGATGACGACGACGACGACGACGACGTGTATTTGTTTATTACGACCTCGAATATTACCGTATAAAATTAAATAACAAACTGTGACGTATTCGACAAATATTTATTTCAAATATTTCTCTTTCTTTTTTTATATATTTTTTTCTCTCTCTCTCTATCTTTCTCTACGTAAATTCAAAGTTGTCACGGTCGAATAATTATTCGATACATTTTTTTAATATTTTAATTCTAATAAATAAATTTCGCGAAACAAGAAAAAACAGTGAACGTTTATATATATATATTTATATTAACACTTTTATAGTTGTTTTTTAATCACGATAAATAACGGAACATAGTGTGGTAGTGTTCGATCGAACGCGTTAAACAAGAATATCGTTTTATTTCTTTTAAGATGAAACGAGAAAGTCCAACGAGAAGTGGTTCTTTATTCAGCCGTGACCGTGAAACGTTTAGGCGTATATTGTATCCTTTTCCTCCTATCTTGTAACGCACCATTGAATTCTTTTCCCAAAAAAAAAAAAAAAACGAAAGAAAAGGGGATTAATAGAAAAAAAATTTAAGTAATGTGTTAAAGGGGGCGGCAACATTTGTTTCAAATTTCTCATCCAATGATTAGATTAAAATTACCAACAAAATTGGGTCAGACAATCCTAAAGAAACAATAACATTTAACAATAAGTCATTGGTTTTTGGGTCAGTGGGGTGGTTACTTTCATAGGACGGGGTCAGCAATAGCAGCAAGTATATGCAACATAGTTACGTTAACGGTAAATCATCTTTGTATAGTAAGTCCCGGTCATCGACGCCAATGTTCTACAATATAACTGTGTTGAAGAATAAGTATTCTTCTAACATACACAAACATATCGTATAATAAATATAATAAGAAGTAAACGTATATATACATATATAATATAAAAAGGGTGAAGTGGTAAAGGGGGTGAAGGGTGATCAGAGGGGGTGAAGGGGCGGTCCGAGACTGACAGTTGGGTGGGT